TCCGCTCGAGCCGACCCATTCGTGCCGAAGCATGGCTCTCCCACACTTAAAAACATCTTTATTATATTAATTTCTCTTGTCCTAACTTTCTTGTCAATGAGCTGCAAAAGGGATCTCTCCTCTCTCTCTTAAGCCAGTGAGTTTGATAGTCATTAAACTTGATGCGGGAGCAACCATAGGCATAAAGCTAGTACAAGATATCTCGGTGGCCTACAAAGAACCTCGAATCTTTATAAGTGCGATGTAAATAAAAGGGGCACACGGGGGCTGCAATATAAAACGGCGGCGACGGTTTATTTCGACATTTGTCGCGAATAAATCACAATTTGAGAAGAACTATAGTGGTGCTTTGCCAAGAGACGCCGCGGCGCAAGTGCCGGCCTGAAGGACGTGTACACACGAGCCACTAGTTCGAGCTGACACTACAATGGCAGTATTCGGTTTACTAATTAATATTACTTACACAATGACGCATCTTAAAATGCAATCTCGAGCGTACGCTGTAGCGTTTCGAGCGCGCCTCAAAGAGCTAAAAGACCATCGCTGATGTACAGCCAGGTTTGACAGGGCTAATGATCACATAGGGTTGCGGGGTAAGCACAATAATGAACCACGGCCCGGGCCTGGAATAACAGAAGGAACTGGGTGTTTTTTAGCCAATAATAGTCTGACATTTCCTATCACCCTTCTCTTCCATTCCATTCAAGGCGGGAAAAGTCATGTGATTATTTACCAACCTCAAACAAAAACCCAAAGTGCAATGTTGGATCTGCACATATCAAATTAAAGTCTTGTTCTAAAATTGAATTTAAAAGCCACATTTCATCAGACTATTTTCGGGGCACATAAATACATATGTACATACATCTACAAGTTTATTGCCTTAAACTGGGCATTCCAGACTTTTTCAGAGAATTTCTCTAGTCTAACCGAGGATCAAATAAAATTACTTAGCAACCATTTGGTGGGAGTAGGTAAAACATTATTACTCCCCAAAACACATTTTACTAAAGGTTATGTTTTAAATAATTCTAATGAAGATGAATAGGGAACAGCATCAACAATTTGCTCATACTCCACATATATTTAAGGTAAATAAAGGTTTACAAGTACTTGGGAACAACAAGTACACAAAGTCATTAGAATATATGTAAGTACCTACCCACAGTAAGAGCTCACTTATTTAAATAATGTTCTACACTAAGCTTTAGGCTTCTGTCTGCTTGTATAAATTAAAGTGTGATAATGATTACTTCGTTTCGTTTCGTAAGAGAAAATATTACCAACAAGGTCCAGATTATGGTAAGAATCGAGAGGAAAGCCATTAGGCACTTTTTTACAGGTTGTCTGAAGGTTAGCCATCGGCGTCACCTACGGACACTTGCAATAGCACTAATAAATAAACCTTTAACAAACACTTTTAGCTTTTAAAATGTATAATAATAGCCTGCCAATCTGTTTGTCAGTGAAGCTTCGTCGTTCCAGAGTGTAGATTCGAATGGATATGGACGAGCAGGAAACTCTATGAGAGTTTTGCTCGCCTTTTGGCGTTTATAGATTTCTGCGATGGGGGATTTGAGAATTGAGGGTAGGGAAGTTAGCAAAGATGTACTGCATAGTCATCATCATCAGCCCATAAGTGCCCACTGCTGAGGAAAGGCCTCTTCTCACACTTAGAAGGTTTGAGCATTATTCACCACGCTTGCTCAATGCGGGTTGGCGATTTGAAAGTTATAATTAACAATTATAAAGTCCAGGCTTCCTCACGATGTTTACCTTCACCGTATATTAGTGATGTCTAAATAATCATAAAAACTACATATAATTCGGAAAAAGTCACATTGGTACTTGCCAGGTTTTGAACCTACACGACCGTACTGCATAGTAAGTATTGTCTTTCAGCATGATTCTGACTTTAGCTTGAAGTCATTTGGTGACAGTCTCCTCTCAAAATAGACATGTGAGCGTGTGTGTGCAGAATATGCGCGCGTATGTTGCCTCGGCAACCTGGCGGCTTGCATCGCCGATGTTGATATGAACTTATATTCTTTGCATTTACATAACCTATTTCAGCAAAACTTTACGTCCTCTACACGTTCACTTTGTGCAAAATACTATTGTTTAGATCAAAATGAGATAGAAACTTATGACCGTTGCGACCAAGTATGAGTTAAGCTTGTCACATGTAGCACTGTACGCTATGTGTGTGTGTGTGTGTGGAGCTACTTTGTGGGCAGCTTTACGTGTCGCTACTAAAGAATTATTAAAGAAACAATAACGCATTGATAGGTTTTCTCTTTTTTTGTGAGGGGAAGGTCTTCAAATCCCTTCTCCCGCCCAGGGTATGGCGGGACGGAGTGTCAATCTCTAACTGACTAAAACCCCCCGTTCCTTCTCCTGCTCTGAGCCGAAGCCACGGTGCCCCATTGCGCTTGTCCCGCAACATCCGCTGAACATCAGCCCTATAGGGCCCCGCCTGTGGTGGTCTATTAGCTCTTTGAGGCGCGCGCGAAACGCTACGCGCCGTACGTTCGGGGACTTGGACATAATGACTACATTATGTCGAATTGAGACGGAGGATTTCGGAGCAGTCCGGGCTCTGAGCTTCGCACATACTGAAGACATTCCGGGCGTCGGGGATTGCGTGATGACCCAGCCATGATAAACGCGGGTCTAAGACCGACCAGAACCAAACCCGAGCGAACGATACGTTGCGTTCTGCGCTGCGCTTCCTCAAGGAACCATTTGGTCATTGAGATGGGGCCCAATAAACCTGATATTGCAAGTGCAATAATGTACTTCGTCCCGGCCCGGCAAAGGAAAAGTAAATTGATGATTTTCCCTTCTCAAAAAAGGTTCAAATAATAAATATGATCTTTTTCAACTTAATCACTTTAGCTCAATCCGGTCATTAAGGGCGTCACCCAAAAAATCCTATAGCTAGGCTGAATAATTTCAATAAAAACACCCTTAATACCTCATAATTCTCGTTTAGAATATTCCGACAACAATATAACGCGTATGTTTGTAAAGTAAGTGAGTGCCATGGGGCCTATAATCCAAGGGTATCTCATAAACCGATCGGAACCGTTTATTCATTGGCACAACACAGCCTTGTTAAAATTCTACTGCTGTCTACAATATTACAGCTTATGATACTCTTGAAGGCGACGAGTATGGTGCTATGTACATTATGCCCACTTAACATGGTCCCCGTTACTTTGGTCGATGTAAATGAATTCTGTTCCCGACCTTATAGCCCTACTCCAGCACAATACATGTCCAACTTATAAGTCAGGCGTCTGGGTAATAAAGAAAGTATTGGAGTAATGACAGCTGCGCTTTGAATGTCGATCGTCAAAGCATCTCCCTCGTACCCTCATCAGTCATTTCAATCCTTCACTACCTTCATGTGTATGGCAACGGCTTTGATGGCAACTTTACTAAAATTCCTCACAACGGAACAATTTTCCGGAAAACCGTCACCCGACGCTCGGCCCCCCTTTATTCCCAGTCTGCCGTCACAAACAGTAACAATACACGATTTTTTAATCAACCTCACTTCAGAAAAGATTAAAAATTGTCATAGTGAGGGACGCGTCATCGTGAGTGACGCGCAGCTCCCTCGCGAAATTTAAAACAATACGGACAGGTAACTAGACGGGATTAGAGGGGAATATAAAAAGCCTCACCTGTTGTTCATGATCATTAATCATCGGAGCAATTGCTGAGCAAATTTATCTTTATCAAGGTCCCGAAACGACGGGAGTTCGTATAATGACTCGTAAACATTTTTGATAATAAAATAAAGAAGAGTAATAACAGAAAGTTGGTGTTTCTTGTTTAGAGAATTGTGTTAAAGTTTCGTGTTTAGGCTCCGGGCTCAGTTTTATGTGAATGTTTGATGCCGACTCTTCGCCGGAGTTTTCCGTTGAAAAAATAATGATCAGCGGAGTGTGGATGGTTTTATTGTGATTTGTAATAAGCGATGTTTTTCCACTTAGGATTCAGACAAGTTTTTGTTTTGCTTTAAATTTATTGAGTTTCAAAGTTATTGTAGAACAATAGTGAACCAGTAAATTGCTGTGCGGTGTTGACCTCGCAACTTCAAGGAGTGAAATGGCCCCTCATCTAAACTTGCATAGCCCCATAGTTAATCAAAGTTATGTTTGTGTTGGGAAGTGGCCACGTGAGTGCTGTGAGTGTCGCACGTGAACACAAATAGGCACGTTGATATTGCAAGCTCGCGACTCGGGCCGCGCCGCGCGCTCTCGCAGAGAACCACCGTAAGTCTACTGCATACAACAACATAATTATATTAATATGGCAATCAGAACACCCTTTATTAGCAAATCTTTAGTACAACAACCTTGGGTGAGGATAGAGTTTTCGTTAGAAGCTTTATAATCTTCAAGATGTATAGCAAACAGTTCACTTTTTGCATTTAATAATGTTGTAAGTGTAATCAGTTTTGTTCCAAATAATGTGCAACTAACAATAGACATGACAATAACAACCCAGTAATCTGCTTGCCATTGGAGATCCAGCCGAAGTGAACACACTGCTTTGCCTTGCTGGTGTCTCGAGCGGCACAATATTAGCATAGGTATTACGGCTTTATTAAATGCATAACACGACACGGTAATGTGGATTCAGAGCTCGGCGTGACACAATATTGAGCTGAGCGTACCTGGGGACTGTTGCTCAGCTCTGATCGATTTAGAAGCCGACGTCTAATGTTTGAGCAGCTGAGATTGTCTGGATTCTGATAATTGTGAGCTGTAGTAGTATAATAATATGGTTTTGTATTGAAATATTTTTTTTAGTTCCTATTTGTTGTATGTTTTTAGCCGACTTCAAAAAAGGAGGAGGTTCTCAATTCGACGAGTATTTTTTTTTTTTTTTTATGTATGTACACCGATTACTCGAAGACGCCTGGACCGATTTGCAAAATTTTTTTTTATTCGATATTAGCTACTAGATACTTGATAGCTACTAGACTAGACTAGATACTTGCCATTTGGTCCCATTGTCATGAGGTCAGGATCTGATGATGGAATCCTGGAGAAACCGAGGGGAACTTTCGAAAATTGTAGGGGCGAGTAGTTTTTTTGTATGATGTTTAAGTAGACCTTTAACAACACTACAACTTGAGGAAGGTCGAAGTCGACCAGATGTTGGAGCTGGAAGACAGTCGAGGGATCTCCTTGACTATTTGGAGTAGTTGCCTTGTGTTTGGGCTTGAATGACTCGTATTGGCGAGCACTTTGCACCAGGCTAGGTCGTAACTGTCATTAAGGGGTCTGATGATGAGAACGAAGGACAGCTCAGGGAACTCCTGAACGGTTTACAGTAACTACTTCGTGTTTGAACTTAATTCATTTATATTGATGAAAATTTTGTACCACTATGGATTATAACAACTGAAGGTCTGCAGTTTACCTGATGATGGAGACCATTGATAGTCTAGGGAACTCCTCAACGGTTTACAGTAGCTACCTCGTGTTTGGACTTAATTTTTTATGTTAAAAAAGGCTGGTGGTGATGATGATGATGATGATGATGAGAATTTTCCCAGTTCTTGGGAATTATATTTTTTAATCGAGCGCCTCCTTCGTAGGCCTACACACAGCTACTTAAAAAATATATTTACTATTCAGTATGTTAATTTATATTTAAAATGTTACTGTAGTTTACAGAAGAACTTGTAACAGAAACTAAAAATAAAAAAAACTACGTTTAAAAAACCGACTTCAAAAACAAAAAGTTTCAAATAATTAAAATAGATATTTTAATACCATTCTTACGTACGCGAAGCTAATACTTTTAATATTAATAATAAAACACTTTCAATTCTATGTGCTACCTATTTATAGGTTTGAAGTCGGTGCCAAGCCCTAAACAGAATAAAAATAAATGAGAATTAAGACTGTTTAACTGCTAAAAGACGAAATTTCCACAACCAACAACGAAGGTACCTAATACTACTTTTAACAACCAAGTACGAGAAAACTTTCAGAATTCATAATTCACCCAAATATGTTTCTAAGCTATACATATATAATTTCGCCGGTAACGAAACCATATAGACTTCTGATTCTACGCTAACGCCATCAAGTTAGAAAATCGGTACTTACTAAATTTCTAAAATCCTAACAAATAAATTCACACGCACCCGACGAGTTTAGGTACTCATGTATCATGCTTATTATATTATACTATATGTAATTAGGCTTGGCACCGACTTCAAACCTATAAATAGGTAGCACATAGAATTGAAAGTGTTTTATTATTAATATTAAAAGTATTAGCTTCGCGTACGTAAGAATGGTATTAAAATATCTATTTTAATTATTTGAAACTTTTTTGTTTTTGAAGTCGGTTTTTTTAAACGTAGTTTTTTTTTATTAATTACATATAATACTTAAGAATATAAAATAATAATATTAATACTTATGAATTTATGATTGTGAAAGAAATAATCAACTTAGAAATTTATTCTACTTATTTTATGAGTTCTGCAAAAAATCCAACGGGCACAAAGCGAGTCAAAATAAATAAAAACAAAACAATAAAATTCACAAACATTCTAAGAATATTGAAATAAAATAGTGTTTATAAAACGTAGTAAATGTAGGTATGAACCTAGGTAAATTGCTTTTATGTAAAAAAGTCTTCAATCAAAAGTAATTGCACGAAACGTCACGAAATGTAGATTATTTGTTTCAATAAATTTGAGCCGAGTATAAACGGTTATATTTTTCCAATAATAACCCTTATTAGGCCACCTGTTGCCCCGATAATAAATCATGGCGGACTCAGTGCATTAGATTAATCTTTTAAGTAATTTATTAGCGGCCGTCCAACCGCAGCCAATTAAATATATTCTCTTTTAACTTTTACAGGATTATTATATTATAATAATTCAGAATTGTGGCTATTTACACGTTGAAATGTGTCTGTTTGTGCGACCAATGTACTAAAATTAATGGAAGTAACTGTCCACTTTTGGACTTTTAAATCAATTAACATTAAGTTAAATATTATTTGTCTTTATTTTTGTTATGTGTATTTGATAATTTGCCTTAAACATATCCGCAATTTTTTTAAGTAAAGTAGCTGCTAGACCCCTGCTTAGCAAAGGCTTTTCCTCATATGGAAAAGGTTTGAACATGTATCGCCACTTGTTCAAGGCGGATTGGTCATTTTAAAGATATACTTAGATTATTTGAGTCCAAGTTTTACTTACGATGTTTTCCTTCAAGTCAGTGGTGTCTAAATAAATACAAAAAATCACATAAGTATTCCCTGAAATCTCATTCATGAGAAAACGCATGGCGAATGACGAATAGCGCCTAAACCTTCAGGCCACTGCGACCACAAAATGAATAGTTGTACAAAACGCAGTAATATAGGTGCCTATAGTTGAATTATTACTTCAATTGGATGCAAATGAAAACCGATTACTGGACAATATGCAGCTACGTCGACCAAATCAAACGTACGCTGATGATTACTCGGTGATTCAACCCTGCAGCGCACGACGCAGACAATACGCTCTGATTGATCAACGATTGTGATTTAAACACGGTTCAAACGTGCCCTCATTAATACATAGTTAAATATCCTATCACGAAACACATCAATTATTACGATTCGCGTCTTTATCTCATTAACGCGATTCTGGCTCTCACCCAATAATTATTTTGTTATGGTTTTATTAAAATAAACGCGCCCGCCGCCGCCGCAGAGAATGAACAATTTCGTATTTTCTTTCCATTTTATTTGAGTTGAGCGAAATAAATTAGTTCGCTCTTGGTTTTACAAACAGTGGTAAACCGAAGAATTTAAATTGGGACGTGAATTTCATAATCACTGATTGTATTTTAAATACTCTGTTCAGATTAAGCAATGAATATTAAATTCAATTGTTAAAATTAGAAATGTTGAGTAAAGAAAGCAGTTTCAAAGACTTATTCTGGATTGTACTTTAATATAGCCCGCCTAACCATACAGTAACCATGTTTCGAATGAAGTCATGAGCCATACGTCACATAGTTCACATGCACATACCGCGATGCTTCCCATATCGCAGTACAACGCTGGCTCGCTACGTGTGCCACACTCGCACACTATGCGCGCGGCAATGGAATGATAAAATATGCGCAAGACGATGTTGATACGTCTCCAGTCTTCACTGATATTTAAGGCGGCTGAAATGTTAAGGAATTTGATGCAAATTCGACATACCAACGTATAGTTCCAAGAGTTTGCCTGAGATTCTGTTTCGGAGATATTTCTGCATTCGTTGCAAAGCTCACGACATTATTAGGATGCAGAATGTTGGCGTCTCATCTTGTGCATGAGCGTTCTGTGTGTGGCCTGTGTTTAATTCGTTCACGTTGAAACGAGGAAACTGTTTGATTGCGTTTGCCTGCACTCGCTGCAATATCAGCTTAGTTTTCTAGTTGCTTGATTTTCTGGCGTTAATTTGCTCTTGATAAAGAATGAACCAGCAGGATGAGTGTGATAATGAGAGATACATGCATATGGACTGATGATACTGATGACGAGGATTGGCTTAACGCGTAAAAGCTGATACAAAACTAAGCTCAGTGCAAAATATCGAACTACAGTTTAAATACGTAGCTCGAAAATTGCCCAAAAAATGTTAATTCGATACTATTTTGGTATTGAATTATAAGATTACCTTCTTAAGAACAAAACCTTTTTCACCAAGACACAGCGTGGCGCAGATATTTTTCCCTAAAACTTGTAAGGAAATATCTTCAAAATGCAAATAGGTAGGCAGGGCAGTAATTAGCCGAGGAGTCAGCGGTCCATGAGACACTGCGATGACTTATCTGAATCGCTAACAAAAGCCTGGGCGATGTTAAATTATAAAATAGACAAAGTAATTTGCGTCACGTTACATTTTACAGTTTCCGCCACAGACGGAGTAGGGTGGCCCTCAATGTGCGGACTCGTACACCGCAACGAGCGAAACCGCGAGGCATCCTTACATATAAAAGAGATGATGATCAAAAATCTAATTTAGAAGTAAGAGGAAGCTAAACACTGCTCCGAATGAACTCCAAATAAGTCATTTGAAAGTAGTAAAGCTTTTCTTATGTTATCAATCGTCATCTTATATATAAAAATGGATCGCAAAATGTGTTGGTAAGCGCATAACTCAACAACGCCTTGACCAATTTTGCTAATTCTTTTTTTGTTGTATTTCTTATTGTCAGGAGAAGGTTCTTATCAAAGAAAAGATTAGAAAAGTAGAGGGGAAGATTAGGAAAAAGTGACCCTTTGATAGCGAGATAGTTGGACCCAAGCGAAGCGGGGGCGGGCCGCTAGTTTGTAATAAATGTTGTATGCCCCACAATATTTTTTCTTTTTAAACATAACGTTGCCCCACTTTAGGATTTTCTCCTGTGTTGTGGGTGCGTTTACAAAGATACAATGTCACATACACATGACACCCAGACCTGAAACAACAATTTGTGCATCACACAAAGTGTTGTTCCGTGCGGGAATCGAACCCGCGACACATTGCACGGCAGCCAGTTGCCCAGCCACCGCACCAACCGTGCAGTCAAATTTGCAGTTTATTATGTAGATAAAGAACAGTCTTCTTACTAATACATCAGGTATCACATAAGATATTTAATAAACTACAAAACAGGATCAGTTTATAATATTAGATATATTACTCGCACTTATTAGTAGATTTGTCAACGACATGATAATTTGGTAATCATTATACCGATGCACTCGAGCCGGCTCATCACGGTGTAACGTGACGCGACAGTAACTCGAAGTCACGGATAATCCGGCGACTGCCGTCTATTTGTTCTGCACAACAATGAGAGGTGATTAGCACCGGCTTTGTTCCGCCATGTTTTCACATATTTTGCTTGTAATTTTCTGTTAATGTATGCCGAAATTAATATTGCTATAATACCAGTGTAAGGTTGCCATTTGCGGAATATTGTAATTAGTTCTGTTCTTGATAGCGGTACTATTTAAACTTGTAAGGTTTTGATAAGGGGTTTACCGCGCTCTTTGACGGTTAAATGATCCTAAGAAGTTTGAAATCAAATCCGATTATAAAACTTGGTTGAATTAAAATGTCTTTTCAAATAGTGTTTTATTGTTTGTGAATGCCTGTGGAAAGTACTCATACAGAATGAGAACTACTACAGTGAGCTTGTACGAGGTGTGTAATCCTTTCGCCCGGGCCACATGTGCAGTGGTGCAGTCTACATAATTCCTTATAAATATTTCTGTGAAATCAAATTAATATAGCGCACTGGGCTGAATAGTCCCGCACACAGTCGCTATCATGCGCACCTTGCGGCCTCGGGAGCGAGCACATAACGTGTAATCCTATCGCGCGAGGCACATGTGTTGCCGCCTGTACCGGCGCGCATAAATCAAGCGCATCCCTACCGAGACTTGATTCCGACATTTTATACTGTTTGTACTTAGCCTTAACTGATACGTTCCTGTTTGTTTAAGTTTATTTATGTTACCTGTTGTGCTACCTTATTAAAAGAAGACATGATACACTAAAGTAATCTCATGGTCTTAGGCTGTCACTTTAAAGATGATCCCTTTATATCAACAAACCATTCGATATAATATGTGGCCATGAAATGTGCATGAACCAGAAATGGTTAGGTGTGTTCCGGTACTTTATTGTTTCAAAAAACAAAACATTTTCGTAAAATTATCAATCATGACTGTTTTGATAAACTCACGACTCATTTACACCCGGAAAGACCGTAAATCAAAATAAGCCCACCAAAAAACATCAAAAAGACAGGATTATCAGACTCTCATCGCTCCAACGGGCCAAAGTGAAAAATATACGAGTTATTCACACAATATACTGGCGATATCTAATCTGCGATATGAATGGTCCGGGGCGTGCCCGGCGCGCACCGGGCCCAAATGAAAAAGGCCCGACCCTCAATATGGCGTTGGCAATAATTACAACGGAGTTGACCTTTTACACAATGTCATACGTGTCTGTAACGATTCGATGAAACACAAAGAAGGCATAGAAAAGGGTGGCGACTCAATTATTTCTGTGCTGGAGCAAATTCTCGTGAAAGGGACCTGATTGTTGGGACTGTGTTGTGTTTTGTTCAAATATATTTGCACTAAATTAATGTGGTCGTGTCAATGTACATATGTGCACAAGTGGTTCATTATTTTAGTTCTGAGAATCGTCAGAAAGTTTGCATCAGCTTAATTTCTACCTAAAATATGATCTTAACTGTTTTCTCTGTTTTAATATGAATGCATTAATCGGAGGCTTCCTTGAACCAGTCAACTAGCGAATGCTATTTAGCAGAATATTATTAAAAAAATAGTAATTTCAATTCTTATTATCATTTTATTAAATTTGGAAAGGCTAATTTCTAACATATCTGTGTATATTTTTCCTTATAGCTTCTTTTGTATAAATCTTCTAGACTTATCTTGAAATACTATATTACTTAAATTTCATTAACTTCAACGTGTTGATATTTACTTGAGAAAAACAAAGGCTTTACAGAATTCTTGTACATGGTAAAGAGCACCACATTTCTGCAGTAAACACGCAAATTATATCATGTATACCTTTTAGAATATTACAATGGAGTCGATAGCAGTCAAGTTATGAGTCACATTGTTTGCGTATCGGTTACAGCAACGGCAGCCATTTTTATGTTACTGCTACAAAATGTTCACTATCTGCAAACCCTTTCTCATTCGAAGTAAGGATTGCGGCTTAAGTGAACTTCCAACTTAGAATATAATACAATAGTATTACTATGAGGTTATGTTTTAACATACTTTGGAGAAAATTGGTATTATTTGGTTAAGAAATACACTTCATTCTTTTATCCACAACAGATCAGAACCTCACCTGTACCCAACACACATTTGGTAGAATAGCTTAATAATTGTCATTAAATTCTGCCTCAAAGAGCCAATAGACTCACCACGGTGGTGGGTATAGGGCTGATGTACAGCCGGGGTTGCGGGACAGCCGGAATAAGACACTCGGCCTAGAGTAGGAGAAGGACCGAGGGATTTTAGTCAGCAAGAGTCTGATACTACCTCCCGTCCCACCCTGGACGAGGAAATAGGTAACATATAACATATGAAGTCTTTTTCTCACAAAAAAAACTATGCCTATACAATTGTATACAATTTGTTAGGGTAAGTAGGGTAGGGTAAGGGTGAATTAGAAAGTTCATATTTTTGTTGCTTATTTTTAAACTAATGTTCCCGATATCATTTTAAGTAAATACGTGCCCGCGTTACCCTCTTTACACTGGCAGCGTCTACTGATTTTTCATTTATGTTGATATATTTTCGAAGAATTAGAGTGTATATTCATGTGTAAAATAAAAATTCTAATCCTTCTTAGAATTCGAAAATAAAACTTCAATAACTAGACAGAAAAGTTGAAAATTTCATACCGATTTAAACTAAAGAATTCGAAAACTTTGAGTATTTACTAAGCCACAGAAAATAGCAACTTATTTGAGATATAAAATTTGAAATATTTTTAACTGTAGCGAAATGAATTTGAAATTCACGAGTCGTCGTAGTGCCGCAGGAAATCGCGGACGAATAAATAAAAATCAAAATGAAATAATAAACTAGAAGCAAGGTTCAAGTTGGTCGCTGCAAGTTCGCCAATGATTTTCGATTTGTAAAGTTTTAAAATTGCGATAACTGCACTGCTCCGAGCTGTTCCGAAGCGATTTCATATTTTATTCGTTACCTACTAGTTGTACTAGTTGGTAGTTACAGGTGCGAACAGTTTATTGCACTTGCCGCTTTTAATGACTTGTTTTACTTTGATGGAGCCCTAGTGCGAACTTAGTTTTTATAATCGCTCGTGATTAGTTCTGGTTAAAGTTTCTAGTGAAACTTAAAGCCTTTTCACCTGTTTGTAAGGATCAGTTTTCGGAAGCAAGTATTCAATACCTATAGTCTGTGAAAGAACATATCAGTGGTTTCAGAAATTATGAAACTGAAGTGGAAATCTAGTTGAAAATGGGTTTTTTACTTTCCTGGACTGTCGATTTTAGAGAGCTACCTGCTTAGAAGACTGTATGGAAATGAAAAAATACGTACGTAAGGAATTAGATTTTCTTCAAATAAAGGTTCGCAGTAGACAGTTATTAGCTCTATGTACCTGCCACAGCCGCAGATATTAGGGAGGGCGTATTTTTACACCAGAATTAATTCCTTAGATAAATGAAAGAATCATATTCCAGTTGCTTTTAATAAAAACCTGAGGTCCTGAAATCTTACAAAAGTAAGAAAAGTCTCGAAATTGATATTCCTATTCAAGATCCAAAGTTCGGCATTTAAAAATAAATGGCTTCGCTTATTTTCGTTTGATGGTATCGTATTATAAATTCGAAAAGCATCGAATAAAAATCTTACAAATACTTATTAGATTTTTTCGATGGGATTAATTTCTTTACTTATTAAAATATAAGGAAAAGGTTCAGCAAAATACACACTTTCCCCTTCCTCTTAAAAATTATAAGATTAATTAAATTTGAATTATAAGCTGGTCCACTTTTCTTAAGTTCTACTTGGCTTTTTTGGCATTTATTTCATTTTTGCATTTTATTACGGAGTTTAACAAAATAAGGAGATTACGGCGATTGTTTTTTAATTTTTCCTCGAAATTATGTTGGTACCTATTAATTTTAGCTTTCGGGGAGTTATCCTTAAGATGAAGTGAAAGACTTGAACCTCTTTTGGTTATTGAGAAGAAATTGTATTTAGATACGTCAAAGGTGTCAACACTTCAGTCAGTACTGATGGAGGACCGGGAATAAACTAATTTATACTACTTAATCATGAGGTGAGCTCGGACCTAACATCTATCGATTTACTCTCACATATATTATTATCTATTTCACCTTCCCTTGCGTGTGTTCATTACAAGCAATATAGCACATACATATACAAATAAAGCATTTCTAGAAAAACGTAAGAAATTTGTGACACTATTATATCGCTAACATGGCAACACAAGTTTATCCCAGTAGCCTACATTATCAAAGTACTTACACGAACCCCGCAGTCACACAGCACCCCGTCAATTCCAGCACATGTAGCAAGCACGTCGCCACGGCCCCGCTGTTTCAGCGCCCTCAAACATATGAATGGAATTAGCATTGCTAATTAGCTTTTAGCAATACATCGCTTCAGCCGCTTACGGGTGAAGTAATTCGTAGCATGTTAAATCTTCAGTTTAATTCGTTGTCTGTGTTTAATGTATCGGGTATTGTGTAGGCTGTCTCCGCTAAATTAAACTGTATGTCTGTCTACATGCGGGGGTATTTAGTAGGTTTGTAGTATGAACATATTTTGAAGAAGGTATGGAATGATCACACAAAAATGGGCACAGTTATATTCCAAGGATTTTATTTTATTGATGTTGTATATTATCCATTTTAAAATCTAGCTTATCTATGAGCTTGTGAATAACTCAATTTACTAGTCCACTTCCAATAATAATATTATCTTCAAATTAGCAAAGCAGTGTATCGAAACTGTCCGTGTCCGGAATGCGGTCGTAATGAAATATCATACAAATCATTACAGGCGGTACGACTGCATCAATTAACACGGTGGTTAGTCCCGATACCCACTCATTTGGCAAGTGTCCCGCCCGCCGTTATTAATATCCATCAGTTTGCACGCATTTAATTGACACGGCGCAAATTGTTGCTAATTGCAATACAGTTTGTATAAATGTTGACCATGTTCGTGTGTTGTATTGTTCTGAGTTATTTGTGCGGAACATGTAATTGGTGTGCCCCTTTGTGTGACCGGCCGTGTCTTATAGTTGCAATACTACTGAATTGAAGCTTCGAAACATTTATTTGGCTTGTCCGCAGAGATCAGTTTTACCTTTCTAGTAAAATTGCTCTTATAGTACCACAACAATCGGTTGACTACCTTTATATTTTTGCTTCAAAGAAACCAATTCATATTTAGGTCAAAGTATCTACGCCGTTCCTCGAATACTTAACGCCTTGTTCGAAACAAACCAATTAACCAAATAATTCGTTCAAATTCTCAAAAGCTATTCAAACAACGAGCCAGTTACTTTCTTAACGAAACAAGAACCTAAGTACTTTGTGTTTTTTGAAAATCTCGGAGCCATCCAAACAGGAACCCATTTGACACCTCGCAATGTTTCGCAGCACGAACAAAAATCCAATTTTGATTAAAACTTTATAAAGAGGGGAGCGCTCGATTAATTTAACTTTTTTTGCGGTACCCCCGGCCGGCCTTTTTGTTCGCTCTTCGGCCAGTATTGTCGTGATCCACTCGTGGGAAAATTGTATTTACAGACAACTCGTCACGTGCTTTTTACAATCTAGACAGGGCCTCAACTTACAAAAAAACTACGAACAAATCGACCGCCATGATGGAAATATGTCAGTCAGTATTTAAAATAAGACAACACAATTAGCTCTGAAATGTTTCAACTTCTCCAGACTAATGCTCTGTTACGGAATCGTTAAGATTATTTATGTTTAGACCGGAGAACAGTTTGTGTATTTAAATGAGTTAAAATATCTTTTGGAACTTAGGATTATAGTATAACTTACTAAATTGTGGTGTAAGTTAGAAACTTCTATACTTTGACCGTTATCCGTCAAAGTCGGTCAAAGTAGTAAGTTGGCAATGGTGTGCATGCCAATAGTCGTTGTTTACATGATAGCCTCAATCAAATGTTAAATATTTTTGGTGACATAAATTGAATCTAGAATTTTATACACAGGCAAGTTACGTTACCGACCAACAAAACTAATGAGGCCTTTTGTTTCAGTTTATTTAAATAAATTTATTGTAACAAAACCCCTCCATGGTCTACCGTCCCCAATTTCAGTGGCAGTAACGTTAACCCTGCCGCTCTCAAATTATAAGTGACACGTCCGAACTAAGCCACGATTTGAGTAAACAAAATATACATAAAATTGAATAAATTAGTGTCCACGAAAGTGGGGACATGAAACAAAGGGATAAGTTTGTGTTACTCTAAGTATCAAGTTGTGTGGCACCACAGTTGTTGATGTATTTTTCTTTCGAGAATTTTCCACTTAATGTTTCCTCACCGTCCTTGGGATTGCGTTAGTGTGTTTTGTTGTTATTTATGTAGTGGAGCGAGACGAACTTTTGTCACGTGGCGACAGGATAAAGGACTTTATTATCTATCACGGAATTATATTTCTAACAAGCGTAAAACATTGGCTATATCCGTTTTCTTTTGTTTACGTGAACACACATCGAATATGTGTCATATTGTAATACGTTAGACGATAATCCACTCTTTTGTTAGTTTTGTTTTTATAAGACCGATTGAATAGACGAGGAAGGTTGATTATATCTCGTAGTAAAGGAAGTAAAGGAAGGTTGATTACATTAATATATATGGTATAAACCATATTATATATAACCATATTATATAAATATATAATAATAACCATAAACCATATTATATAAACCATATTATATATTTCTATATATGGTATTATAAAAAGGTAAAATTGTAAGTTTGTATGTAGGGAGGAAATCTTTAGAACCGCTGGTCTGATTTCCAAATGATTTTACTAATTGATGGCTACAATGTTCTCGAGTGGTATAGGCTAACAAAAAAAACATCACGCTACAATCGAATGGCTCCGAGCAGCGAGTTCAACCGCGCGGGAGTAGTTAGTAGGTACATATACCACTTACTCTGGTCACTTTCGATGAAATAAAAATCCTATTTACGTAAGTAGGTATGTACTTAAATAATAAGATGAACAGAACACATTAAACTACATCTACATCTCAGCATCCTGGCTTTATTGAACTTTCTTCTGTGTTCTGTAAACGCATTCATATCGTTCAAGTTTCGGTGACATTTCCTCCGACGTGTGTAGAATAATCGTGGCAACTGCACAGCTCGGGCTGATGTAAACTTTGGAACAAACTAAGGCGATCCATTGCCCCAGCACTTGTATTATGGCTTACAGTCTACAGCTTCACTTCCTTGCAGCTTATAATAATATATAGCTATTTGCTACTAAGCGTAATCGTGGAATTATTTAATTTAGGTATATTAATTCATGGTGCTAATATTTTCAACTAAATACAAATTACTTTTTTATGGGGTAGGTCGACAAACGAGCAGACATTATCTGATGGTAAGCAATCTGCGCCGTCCATGGACACCCGCAACACTATACTAGGTATTAGGAGTGCGCTGCCGGCCTTTTGGGGATGATTCGGACATTTTGGGATTGGGAAGGGATGCTGGAGGGGAGGGATTAGGCCTCCGGTTTGTTTATTTCACGCCGGTTTTCTGTGAGGCCGTGATATCACTCCGGTCGAACCTACCGATTCGTGCCAAAGCTTGGCTCTCCCACACTTTGGCTATTACTGTCATGGAATCGAAAAAGTTCGTTTTCGTTTGTACACTATCTGGTGCTTGAGTTTTATTCCTGTTGGTATATTACACCTTTGACAAAAACTGCAAACATATCGGTATATGACAATATGAATGTTGAATATCAAAGAGACGCGGTATCTAGCACAAAGCGCAATCAGCTTAGAACAACAGGAACACAAGTGGTAGTCTCAGATTTCTAGCTATTGTTCGATCAGCATAAAAATATTAGATTTATTTATTTATTTTAACTTGATTTACAATCACGAGAGCGCAACGTGATCGGGTCCGCCTCGTGCCCGTCTCTCGTCCGTTGAATTAGCATTCTCCTCTGGTGTGCTGAGAATAATATCATTTTATAAGTTCCATACTTTCTCTATCGTCTGTTCCTAGCCGGAATACATTTTGTTCCAGGAATTAGATTTAGGTACAAAACAAAACATATTTATTTCTTTGTTTACCAATTTCGAATTTTAATTTTATTCGCCACTATTTACGAGTACTACGCTAATGAAAGTACCACATAGAATTAACATTAGCATATTATAAAGTGCTTATAAAATGAATAAAACATTTAATAATGGTTCATTATTTTGTAAATGCACTAATTGGAACAATCAACTTATGTACAGACAAATTTAATCCTCATCGCTGGAAACAATGCAGTGATGTGCTAATAAAATATCATTTAGTTTAACTGTGATGTGGAGTGCTCACACTATGTAATTTGTGCTGTGAGGCAATTCATTCATTTTCCTGACAGCCCAGTGAAGCGAATGCACCTGTCCGCGAACATACTCTAAAAAATATAATATTTAATTAATTTAAACTCAAAATGTTATTAATTTTACTTCATGTTCGATTGTAATCTGGACACGATATTGTTAAACGTAATTGGATTCATTCATTTTAAATTATTTTGTTGCTTATTAGTTTTTTTTAAACGAAACTCAGATTTAGCTTGAAAAAGCTTTGTGCGTCTTGTCGCAGCCGACAAACGAATTAACGTGACGTTGATTATAGATACACATATTAGGCATCAGGGCATAGCCAATGTGTTGATATGAGAAGGTCCTGAAATATTTAGAGAAGGCGTTTGTTTGACAGCAAGGTTTAAACCTTAAGTCAAAGTGATCCCACCGCATATTAATGTGTCAAAGTTTCTGCCAATCAATCTATTGACAGAGTATTAAAGGTATTTAAGTAATTTAATACCTGTGACAACTGCAATAAACCGCTAAGCGGCTTACCCATCAATTAGTTTATAAATCCGGTAAATTTCAAATGGTGACCACGACCATCAGAAACCTTTGTGTGTTGTGTGAAATATGTAGCCATATTTATTAACGCGATCGCCGATCTATATAAATGATCCGGTAATGCTGTGAGTGATTTAATTAGATACGACCGCGGTCCGGCCCTGGGGACGTCACATGTTAATCAATACAAATAAATACCGGCTTTACAATACTTTACATATTTTAGTGCGTCACATTGAGGTTCTGTTTACAAATGATTTTATAATTGAAGTTATGTGCCCTTGGTTTTGTTAAAGTTGAAAATTGTACAGCATTGTCTATGTAGGTATTAATTTTCTTTAATTTTATATAGTATTGGTTTTAAATAAGTTACATCCATTCAGGTTGGACACGTAATGGCTCACCCAATTGTTAACCACAAATAAAAATAAAATACTCATCGATTTACAAGAAAACTGACCTAATACAGTACCTACATTTTGTAAAATTATTATTCCACGGCAAAGTGTCAACTCCCTTTTATAAATCCCGAAGCAATTTGTTAGGGATCAAGTTTCAAAGACTTGGAAAAAAGTCACTGCAGCCAATCTAATATTTAAAGAGCGCTTAAGAAATGAAAAAGCTTAAGGCGAAGCTAAATAAAAAACCAGTAAATGCAAGCCGTTACGACTCCAACATTGCCATTGTTATAGTGATATATTGACAATTGACCTCTTCAAGGGTAGTTAGAACTTCTAGTTAATTTCTAGAAGGACAATAAACGCACAAGAAATGGTCTCCTTTGATTTGATCTATTTTTCCAGTCGCACGTCAACACATTGAAGAAGGTGTTGATAATTTAACATTTTAGACTAAAACCTTTTTAGTCTAGATTGAGTTTGATTGTGGTTTGGAGTCTATGTAAATGATAAAGTTTTTTTTTGTATGTAATAGGTCGGCAAACGAGCAGACGGATTACCTATGGTAAGCAATCAGCGCCGCCCATGGACACCCGCAACGGAGGAGTTACGAGTGCGTTGCCGACCTTTTAGGGATTGGCGGTTGAGGAAGGATTGGGGGAGGGCAAGGATTGGGCCTCCGGTAACCTCACTCACACGGCGAAACACAACGCTGTGGTTGTTTCACGCCGGTTTTCTTTGAGGCCGTGGTATCACTCCGGTCGAGCCGACCCGTTCGTGCCGAAGCATGGCTCTCCCACACTTCAAAAGTTAACGTCATTGTCAACATTGTGCATGTAATAGCTAAGATTATAGTGAAATTATATTAGAAAGACTCAATAACAAGCTTGTAACCTGAATCAGACTAGAATAACCTTGACCTTTGAGGCGAAGAATATATAAAAAGGATCAGATATCCCAAGTAATTTTCTGTCAACTTGAGTATAATATAATACATGATAGCATTACCTCTTAGTAATTACAACGTTTTTGTTCCGTCCCTAACTAGACGGAACTGCCCAAATCCGGTTCAATCCCGATTATTCTCGATTATTCCGGTAACAAGGGCCGCGGGGCGGGCATTATAAACACTCGCTCGACACTAACGCGATTTAAGGCTTGTGTCCTGTTGCCTTTACATGTGGTGTAAGTCATAGGTGCACACGTACATACATACACACTTACTACACTAAGTAGATAACTATTATATTACAGACAGACGGGGTAAAATTTTTAATATTAAACATTTCAAATTAAGGTAAGAGAAAACTAAAACGTTGAAAACAGATTTAACGATTCCTTTTAATTCAGTCTCACAAGGACTTCAGAGAACGATTTAACTCTAACATCTTATTCATCATGAACTTAATAGCACTTGGCTTCGACTATGCATAAAGAATCCGTTAACACTGTCAGAAATATTCACAATAAAATTACACAATACGCTTTTCCATTACTGTGATGAAACTGAGGACTTAGCAGGATGTTTAGCCATCGCACCTGTGACCAAAACGGCTATAAAGCAGCCACTTAAGTCGTTCTGCATTTAATGAACGCGATCAATCAGCTCGCTCCACCTTCCTCCTTGATCCACATATCAAACCTTAAGCCGTACGACTTAGACGTACTCCCTTGCTTAATTTCGCGGAATGAGCTCTTAAGCGCGGCCCTTCACTTGTCTGACTCGGGTCCCTAGCTGTTACAACTACACCTGAAACTTGCCCTATTTAATATGGCCTCCATTTGTTTGCCTATATTGCATTTTATGTTGCCCAGGATTTGTGGCGACTGGTATTAAGCCGACGATCATTTTGGACTGATTTATTTCCCGACTTCTTACTTCGTTACGTAACATCAGATCTTTGTGGTGACATGATTGCGTAAGTTGATTAAATTGTGTCTGTATCAAATTTTATGACCTTGAAAGTTCGCGACCCTTGGAGTTACTACGTGGGCTATGAAATATAACAATGGCTTATTAGTTACCAGTTAGTAGACTCCCAAAACAGATGGCTAGCTGACACAGCTATAGGTACCACTACTACTAGAATTGCTCAATATTTACTGTGATTAATGGAGCTAGACCTACCTGCTAATTAAACAGTGCTTACACGGTAAGTAAGTTTAAGCTTTCCAGCGAAATGGCTCTCTGAGAGAGATGGATTGGGTTCAATGTAAAATCGATTTCTAATATTCTTGTAGTAGTCTAGATAGCCTATAAACTCGCGTATAGGAGAATTGGGGCGTTTCGTGGTCGTGTAATCCAGTACATAATAGTTATACTGTAGGTTCCATGAAATGTAGAGACTGAGCCAATAATACACTAAGGATCTATTGATAAGATATTATTATTAGTGGCTGTTATTAAAATGAGGCAGTTCAATAAAATATTTGTGTTTAATATGAAGTAACGGCAGACAGGCGGGAAGTACCTCAATATCATCGACGGTTTATAGTCCACTGCACTTTGCACAACACTAATGAAACGCAAATTCCGTTGGTTTGCTTCCTTAACAAAAGATAAATATTTAAAAATGCTTTTTTATAGGGAACCTTCAGCGGCTGTAGATTGAAAACTTTTTGGTTTGGGGAAGACTTTTTAGTGTTATATTCGGAGCTAATAATTTCTAGTAGTCTATTACTTTTACGTACCTATTTTTTCTTTTTACTGAATTTAATTTACCAATTAATTAAATCAGGATTATCTCTTTAAGTAACATCTTTTATTGTCCTTCACATTTACTAACAAGACTATACAGATTAGAATACTGATACTAATTTTGTTTACATAATTCAGAATCTTGTTCACATACACTTTGTAGCTAAAATTATTTTAGATTTTTGTTTAAAAGTTAATTTAATTTCATGAGTTGAGTATAAAATGCAATATTAGTTCGGTGTGTCCCTCGAACGTGTTAAAGTATGCGGGGTGCGGTGGCTAATATTAAGTGTCGGGACGCGACCGACGCGACCGACGCGACGCGGCCGCATAGCGCCTGTCTTAGCTTCCCTGCCGAACTAATAGTCGCTTTATATAACTCCTTCGATCCTTGTGAACACTGTACAATTCATTTTATACCTACTTCTTACTTAGTAAAAGATACTACGTGGTTTTAGAAGGAATAGTTTAACAAAGGGCACTGATAGTTTTAACGTTGCCGAATTATATTGAAATAATTGAAAAACAATAATGTACTTACGATGTTGTCACAAACGTTATATGCGACTCTCACAATGGCAGATCGATTCAAACGATGAATAAAACGTGGCCTTCTTCATACGTCAGTTAAAATGAAAAATGACAAAATAAAACATAATTGAAAACAAATCATATTTTTTGATAAGTAGCTCTTCCATTATACCGCGATTATACTATCGAGTTCTTTTGAAGATCAAAAGGAGCCAACTATGTAGATATTTATTTGAAAGGCAGATAGAATTACTAAAGCGTTGTCCAAAATCGTTACATAAAAACATCTAAAGTTGATTCGGCCTTTGTTTAAAGGTAAGACGATATTCAAATCGTTTCGATTCGAGAAAAAACAAAGATAATTGATAAAATAAGCAGCAGTCATTTATTGAAGGGATTTCAGCGATACACATTTTGAATCGCAAATGGTCCTAATGGCTTCAGAAAATTCAGTCGTCATCGTAAAGTAAAAATTAAGTTGTTCTTCAGTAACAGTGTCACGTAGCATTTGATTGTCTACTGTTTCGGAGGACTCACACAGGCTTTGTTGTCGTGATGTCTTCAATTTTGTTCGGATTACAGGAGCGTCGAACGTTCCAAATCTGGCCGACTTGATTTATGTTGCGAAGGGCCAGCGCTGGAGGTTGGGACAACATTATTAGGACAGGACGACTACGCGTTCTAAATGACTACGCATATGCTACGCGCGCTACATGGCTCGTAGCACACGTAGTCATTCAATAGTGGCGTGTGATATAAACATACATGTAGCAAATAACAGCCTTTTAAGAGCACCTTGGATATAAAAATATGAATTGTTGAAAACAATACATACATTCATTCAGTAAAAAGGTTTTTAAATCTAGTTTCGAATATCATTGTTTTGATTTGCTTTACTACGTATTCGTGTACCATATAAAAGTGAACCTATATAAAATGAGCAATGGAATTCATTCAAAACAGTTGAAATGGAATTGGAATTAAAAACAGTCGCTAAACTCTCTATGCTTAATATTCAATTTCCTGTAGGTATACATGTTCTATTAAGTCTCATTTGTGCTCGTTAGAGGCGCGTCGTAGAGACACGTTTGTTCGTATAAAAACGCATAAGAACAGATTGCAAGACACGCTGCGTCTAGCACAATAACCTATTTTCCTTTGAGTGTAATGAGTAGCTGAATAAAAGCACTGCGTCATACCTAAGTAGGTTCCTTTACAAATAGAAATAGTACGTACAATATGAATGTTCTAGAGAAGTTCTATTACAGCATCTCTTTTTAAAATTGAATGTAAGTACGGCTGCTCATTTATTTTTTATGCAAGTAAGAAAATAAAGATTGGTTCTATACGAATATAATCATTATTTAATAGCTAATAAGATTCTGATTCCGATTCTGATAGTAAAAAAATAATATCCATAAATAAAAATAAAGCCATATTCTTTGCATCCATTGGTCGCTTCTGTAGCAAAACAGTATTTCTTTACTGTCTCTGTACTGAACCAATCTTTATTTTCGTATCATATCACATATTAAATAACTATGCTTACTTATATAGGTACATGAATTCAAAAGTTTGATGATAGGGTAATTCCCAACTAGTCAAATACCATATTTTTTTCCTAGACGTTGAAAACGTCAAATTTCTATGAATTTTGTATTAGGTGTGGGAGGGCCAAGCTTTGGCACGAATAAGTCAGCTCTACTGGAGTGATACTACGGCCTCGCAGAAAACCAGTGTGACTAAACCATAGGCATTTGTTTCACCGTGTGAGTGAAGTTACTGGAGGCCAAATCATTCATCTCCCCCAATCTCCAAAAGACCGGCGACGCACTCGCAACTCCTCTGGTGTCGCGGTTGACCATGGGTTGACCGATTGTTAATCAGGTTGCAGGATTGAAATATCAGGTTGTGATGTCAGTATTTTTTTACGTCAATTAGCATGTTTATTTTTCCTGAATTATTAAAAAAAACCAAGTATTAAGATAATAAGTGAACATCTAATTATGAAGTAATAATTTTATGTTATTTTAAAAGTTGAAATAATTTATTTTTGATCTTGAAAAGTACTTCATTATGTTATTATTATTCTAAGCACGTGGCCTTTCTAATTCTTACTCAGTTCAAGAAACTTCGGCAAACAACACTTAAACGCGTATGCTCTCAAATACGACAACTGAGCTTCAGTTTCATATTAGACTTTCATAATAAAGCATCTAACCTTTAAAATCTGTTTACATTTTCTAAAACGAAGTATCTAAGAAATTAATAAGCAGAACTCCATAATCTTCCAAAGAATCAGAAAGAAATTTGACTTGATCCAAAACCAGTTTATCTAAGTGTACATAGGTTTCAGAGTGTCTGAGATTCAATTGAAATATTGAAGTGAATTGAGCTATTTGTGTTTCTCGATAAACAGATTGCGATAGACAGGTAAATGTCACTAGACATCGGCACGTCAATCCATCATAGAATTTGTTCGACAAAAACAGCGCTAATATTTCCACGTGGTTTTAAGGATCATATTTATTTGAATTATGATTACTTTGATCTAGTTCTGTGGGTGGTACCGTGGGTTGCCCATTTCCGATCGTATTCTTTGTTATTGTTTTTATTATGTACACGTATTTGGCAAAGTAAATATTGTTTTTATGTTGTAATTTCATTTCAAGTAATTTTATCTTTTAAAAGGCATTACGACTATGACTACAACAGACTACGAGAGCCGACTGTTCAGTGTTTAATAGTCCAAGAAGCTCGTAAGCTTCTTAAAATCGAAATGCTTTGAGCATTGCATTCCAACATATTGTAATTCAAAGAGTAACTAACGTAATTGGGAATGTTTCCAATGCGACGTATGTGGCCTACCAATAAAGCTCTTAAAATGTCACCGACCATTAATCCTGTGATAGGTACAAATTACATATTTATCATTGTTCAGCCGGTCTCAATCAACGTCACAGCTGTCTCCTAAATAAAGACAAATGTCACCGGCGCCTTGGCGAACAACTTTGAAGAGAACTCGTTGAAAAACATCACGAAACTCCTCTAATATCTGCTATAATTCAATTCAATAATTGTTTGATCTTGCCGAGGGCATTAATCAATTTCTACTATAATTCCGCAGTTAACTTCGTAGCCATTTGCAAATTTAATTCTGGATAATGTCATAGATTAAGTGATAGTAACGCAGATAGGCTCGCCATTCGCCAATATTCCTGCACATTCTATTGTTATCTGTTTCGACGCTCGTATGTGGGGTGTGGAGCTAAAATTGTTTGGATTTCTGATTCCCAACAACAATTGTACTTCTGCTATGAATTGTTGGATCCAATTAACTTTGCTTGAAATCCTTTATATTTTCAGATGTTAGATTACAGTAACGTTTTAGATATTTTCCTACAGATAGCCTGTATTTTACGAAACATTGTACTGGTTAGGTTTACAGTAGAAGGTAGGGTAAACCATGTGCAATGTCAATATGTAATACGATTCTCAGAATGAGCTGCGTTAATCGAAGCTGGCTCACATCGCTCCAGTGGCGCAATTGGTTAGCGCACGGTACTTATAAGCAGTATGTCGTGTGAGGAATGCCGGGGTTGCGAGTTCGAGCCTCGCCTGGAGCATATTTTTGCACATTTATCATTCACCATTAAATCATAATTCTTAATATCTTGTTAAATGCCAATAATGTTTCAGTGAAATAACTTAATTATCTGCAGAAACGTATTTACAATGTTATTTTTAGCTGTGATTTACGTTTTAAACTTCGCTTAGAGGTACCTTGTCAAGCCTTATCGTTTATTTACGAATTTCGAGAAGGTCTAGCTAATAATACATTTCATTTTATACTTAGAACTCTCTGAGAGATATCGATTACCGTTGGGTAATTTGAAGCAAGTTTAAACGAGTACAATCAGTAGATAATGGAAGGTATAAGATTAGAGTCCGGTCTACGTTCGCTCAGTAATGTTAATCTCTGCGATTTCACCTCGGATGTTTCTTTCAGACTTTCCGCGATAATCAGATTTCACTTAAATTATAACTGTTTCAATGATTTATCTTCAAGACTTGGCCGTGAAACACGTAGCTCTGTCTCTTTCTGTTATTTGAATGCCAATCGAGTTTGGAGTTTCACCTCCTTGATACACTTGCTATTTGATTAATTGATTCTTTTTTTTCTTTGAGCGACGGATTTGATTGGAAAAGGTCGATGTTTGAAATGGAATGGCCTCGATTTAAAATAAAACTTTTGGGATTCTCTTTATATATAATACAACCCTTTTTGAAGTACCTACTCCTGTTCCATGATTTTTTTTTGCATTCCTTTGACCTTCAGACGGTAAAGTCAGGTTTAGGTGTAGGAAAGCCATGTTTTAAAACGAGTAGGTCGGCTTGCTTGGAGAGTGATTCATAGAGAACTGGTGTAAAACAACCACATCGTTGCTTTGTCGTATGAGTGAGGTTACCAGAGGCCCAATCCTTCCCCTCCCGTATACTTTCCCATTACTTAAATCCCCAAAACCCTTAATCTTATTAACAGGCAACACAATTATTATTCATACTCCTCTGGTGTTGCTGGTGTTCATGAGCATTGCTGTGTAACATAAAAAAGGCATGATTTCTATATTTCATGGTACAAAAATATGGCATTGTAACATTGAGACACATTGTGAAATTTGGTTGATTTTTATTGGTTAATTTGATGCCGTTGTTTTGAATTATTATATATTGGTTAATTCGATTAATTTACGGGCACACTTTATATTTGTGCAATATCATTCACCTAAATACCTATTCCTTTGTGACGGAAAAAATGATTAATTTGGCATTTTTTTACTGAAATCTCTAACCTCAAACACCTAAGAAATCACATCTGTATACGAAACTTTTTAAATATTAAAATACCAATGATTATGATTTACCCCCTAATAAAAGTACTTACCAATTAAAATTCGTAGTACCTACTACATGGAGGTAAGTGTATGCTAATTACAATTACGCACACATCTACACAGAGAGTAGTGCAAGTGATAATATAATTGATACAATATGGTGATTGTATGGAAATAGTAAGATATTAGAGGCAGGCTGCGGCGTCTAGGGTGTGGCCCCTACTCCCATATTGCTGATAATAACTATCTTATACGCGACATATTGAGTGCTGTTATGTTAATGAACGCTTTAGTTTTGTTTCCTAGATATTTTTATACGGACACATTAGGATATGTACTTTGTAATGCACTGGCAATTGTAATTCATTCAAGTGCTATTAAGTATTATCTGTTTCAGAGTTTTGGTTTTTTTATGTCAATATTATGCAGAAATTGAATACGATTCTTGGGTTTTAATCCATTGCTCTATATTCAGACTCGATACAAGGTACCTGTAGCTAGGTATATAGCCAGGATTACCAAAACAAAACTTAGCCACAAAACGTAATCTTAGCGGCCATTAATATAAAATATAATTAAACAATCAACAATCTTGATACTTTAGACGTTTCGAGATAATTAATAACAGCCAGGTGAGCAACCAATGGACATTTTCATTTACGTTGTCGGCCAAAGATAAATATTTGTGATATTAACAACGGAGACTCTGATTAACGATGCCGCATTGCTGCCCGAGGGCCGGCTAGTGCCGCACGCACTCA